TTTGCCTCTAGACTACACTTTTAACATAAATCTGTACATATAAGCTCAATTATGTTTTTTGAAAAATTACACATATCCTCCTAAAAGAGCCAGAAGAAAAAGTACCAAAATGTTCACAGTATATTATCTTTGGTTTATGAGATTTTTCGACTATCTTTATTTTCCTTATGCTTTGCCGTATTTCCCAAATGTTATACACTAAACGTATTATTTTTATAATCCAAAATAAAGATATTGGCAAAAAAACAAAAGCCTAGGCAGTGACTACCTATAATAATCCCCAAGTGGAGATGGGGAATGGGGAGAAAAAAATAGTAATTTTTAAAAAATTTTAAAATCCCCAAATGATTGATTTTATCACACTGTGATGATGAAGCCACAATGAATGCCCTTTGTACCTGATTTATCCTTGCTGCCAGCCAAAGGTACATATAACCTGATTCTCCCAATAGCACACCTTAGCCTCCCACTTACTCCAGGTCTGTAAAGAGGCATCACATAGCAACTAAACCATTCAAAAACTATGTTCCCTACAATTATGCTTTCTCACTATCTTCAGAGTATTCTCACCTACTGGTTTTTTGGTTTGTTTAAATGTATTCACTGTAGTGTGCCTTATAAAAACAATAGATGGCCGGGCGCGCTGGCTCAAGCCTGTAATCCCAGCACTTTGGGAGGCTGAGGTGGGTGGATCACAAGGTCAAGAGATCGAGACCATCCTGGTCAATGTGGTGAAACCCCGTCTCTACTAAAAATACAAAAAAAAAAAGTAACTGGGCATGGTGGCACATGCCTGTAATCCGAGCTACTCAGGAGGCTGAGGCAGGAGAATTGCCTGAACCCAGGAGGCGGAGGTTGCGGTGAGCCGAGATCGCGCCATTGCACTCCAGCCTGGGTAACAAGAGTGAAACTCCGTCTCAAAAAAAAAAAAAAAAAAACAATAGATATATTGAGTGTGCTGTTTGTTTTTGTTTTGTTTTTTTGAGACAGTCTTACACTCTGTCGCCAGGCTGGAGTGCAGTGGAGCAATCTCAGCTCACTGCAACCTCTGCCTCTGGGTTCAAGCGATTCTCCTGCCTCAGACTCCTGAGTAGCTTGGACTAGAGGTGCACGCCACTATGCCCAGCTAATTTTTGTATTTTTAGTAGAGATGGGGTTTCACCATGTGAGCCAGGATGGTCTTGATCTCTTGACCTTGTGATCTGCCCGCCTTGGCCTCTGGTGCTGGGACTATAGGCATGAGCCACTGCGCGTGGCTGAGAGTGCTGTTTTGTTTCTATTTACACACAAGCCTTTCGCTCCCATCCAAAAGAAAATATCCCAGCCTGGGTAACAAAGCAACAGCTGTCACTACAAAAATAAAAAATATAAAAAAGTAGTCATGCATGGTGGTTTGTGCCTGTAGTTTCAACTACTCAGGAGGCTGGGGCGGGAGGATCGCTTCAGCCAAGGAAGTCGAGGCTGCAATGAGCTATGATCACATCACTGCATTCCATCCTGGGTGACAGAGCAAGACCCTGTCTCAAAAAACAAAACAAAACAGAAACAATAGAAAATATCTTGGTATCACTGTATCATCATCCATTGCCAACTTCATGAGAATTCCTGATATGAACTGGTGAAAATCCCTGGAATAACAACTAGACTAGGACTCAATTCTAGTGCTGGCATTGCCTAGGAGGCTGAGTAAATCCTTTAAACCTCTCCATGAGTCTGTTTTCCCATCTGTAAAATATACATAGGCCCAGTAATTTTGAATATTCTTTCCACTGAAAACCTGTCACTTTGCCTCCAGACCACATTTAAGATTTTTAGTTAGTATATAAAACTGTACATATAATGTAAGCTCAATTATGTTTTTGAAAAATTAGACACATACCAAAAAAATTTATCCAAAATGATGCAATTCTTCAAATCTTGTTGTATCTTACAGAGTCACTTGCTGCATAATGATGTTTTAGTCAATGACTAGCTGCATATACAACGGTGGTCCTCTAAGATCATAATACTGTATTTTTACTATACCTTTTGTTAAGATATATTTAGCCATACAAATATTTACTTACGTACAGTATTCAGTACAGTAACATGCTGTACAGATTTGTAGCCTAGGAATAACAAGCTATACCATACAGCCTAGGGATGTAATGGGCTATACCATCTAGGTTGGTGTAATTACACTCCATGATTTTCCCACAATGACAAAACTGCTTAACAACGAATTTTTCAGGATGTATCCCTGTCCTTATGCAATGTGTGTATGACTGTGTTTGTGAATTCATCTTGAAAACACATCTAAGATTATAATCTCCCAACTGGCAGAGTATCAATCACAGTAGCAGTAACACTGATTGGATATGCTTGCCACTGCAGGGACTTTGCTAAGTTCTTCACTATCAGGTAGAAACTAGTATCAATCTCCATGAAGAAACTAAGCTGGAACAGAATGGTCACCAAACCAGTAAGTTGCACAGTGGGGTCAAGAGCTAAGAATTATTAGGCTCCACAGCTCATTGCAGTTTCTCTCTCCAAGATGCAGGTGAATTCCCTTTGTCCTTAACAACACAACACAGTGTCTACCTTGCTGAGTGATTTTAAAGGCCCCCAGCTAGATGACTAAGCTCTCTATATCTGATTTCTAGGAGTCTAGAAATTCTGAGTATAAACATCTTTACTATTCATGGCTACATGCCATCAAGAAACAAGCTTACTTTCCCCACCCCTTTTTAAGGCATTTTCAAAAAGCCTGCGGGCAGAGTGTGTTCTTTTGCTCAGGTGATTAGCTGGGCCCTAGAGGTTTAGAGAGCAGTGCAAATGAGGTTAAGGTGCCAGTTTGACTCCAGGGCAGGTATCCTTGCATAAGGAGTAGCCTAAGGTGAGGTTTCTCAATCCCAGAAATCAACCACACAAATGCCTATCCACAAACAGTTAAAGGGAACAAAAGCAAAACAAAATTAATCTCTGCACCTGGAAAATAACTCAGTGAACAGGATGGACACCTCACTTTCCATAATTAGCCACCTTATTAGATTTACAAAAAATAACTGAGATGAAGTGACCAACTGAGTAAGCTAGCAGAAGTCTAAGCCACTCTTCCTTAAAAAGCATCAGACAGCTTACGTATATGTACTTTTTATTAATACCCTAATTCTCACATTCGTTTCTAGAAAGAAGTTAGAAAAAGTATGTTCCGGCCGGGCACGGTGGCTCAAGCCTGTAATCCCAGCACTTTGGGAGGCCGAGGCGGGTGGATCACGAGGTCAAGAGATCGAGACCATCCTGGTCAACACGCTGAAACCCCGTCTCTACTAAAAATACAAAAAATTAGCTGGGCGTGGTGGCGCATGCCTGTAATCCCAGCTACTCAGGAGGCTGAGGCAGGAGAATTGCCTGAACCCAGGAGGCGGAGGTTGCGGTGAGCCGAGATCGCGCCATTGCACTCCAGCCTGGGTAACAAGAGCGAAACTCCGTCTCAAAAAAAAAAAAAAAAGAGAAAGTATGTTCGTCATACTTCCAAGTGCCTTCTGTATAGAGGCAATGTGCCTAGATGGGAAAAAAGAATGGGTTTACCTAGGCTTCACAGCTACCATCTCTTTGGGCATCTATAACTTTCTTGGGAAAACTGTAACTCCCTCTTCCTAAATCAAAAAGAAATCAAAGTCTGGGCATGGTGGCTCACACATGTAACCCCAGCACTTTGGCAGAGCAAAGTGGGAAGATCACTTGAGCCCAGATCAACCTAAGCAACATAGGGAGACCTCGTCCTTACAAAAAAAATTTTAGTTAGTTACTGGTCCTAGCTACTTGGGAGGCTGAGGTGGAAAGATCACTTGGACCCAGGAGGTCAAGGATGCAATGAGCTGTGTTCATGCCACTGCACTCCAGCCTCAGTGACACAGCAAGGCCCTGTCTCAAAAAGAAGAGAAGAAGGAGAAGAAAGAGAGGGAAGAGGGAAAAAGGAAAGGGAAGGGAAGTTTGCTCTAACACAATTGATATACCTGGGAACAACACGAGCATAACCTGAACTCTGTCTTTGCATATGCACAACTTCATCCATGAGGAAAACCCAGAAAACTACACCCAGCTGGACAGACAGACACACACACACCTCAAGCATCGACCAGCCACTCAGTTCACCAAGGGAGTGTCACACACATCTGATGTTACAACTCTCAGTGCCATTTCAGATAACCCTCCTTCCACCACTTCATAGTAACTGAATCTGCAACCCTTCTGATGCCTACTTCTATGAGGAAACCACAGGTTTACTTTTTCAAAGTGCCATATTTGCGGTATTCCTTAATTATTTAACATGTGAACACCTGTGCTGCTGTTTTCATTAGGTTTTTTTTTTTTGGGTGATGAGTAACTAATGCAGTTTTCAATGTTTTATACCTAACTCCAATTTTTTCATTATCTCTATGGCTTCTGTTGAGCAATTGGCATAGTGTGGTAATTGTTAGGAATGCTTATACCATGTTATAGCAGAACTATTTAATATAAACACCTTTGGAGAAAAGAAGAAACTGCATGCCGGCAATGGTATTCCCATTCTGTACATACAGGTATCTTTCTTTTTTTTTTTTCCAAATTTATAGGTTTTTTATTGCATCATTTAAATATCACAAGTAGGTTTTTTTTTTTTTTTTTTTTGAGACAGAGTCTTGCTCTGTCGCCAGGAGCCAGGCTGGAGTGCAGTGGTGCAATCTCAACTCACTGCAATCTCCGCCTCCTGGGTTCAAGCAATTCTCCTGCCTCAGTCTCCCAAGTAGCTGGGACTACAGGCGTGCTACCACCACACCCAGCTAATTTTTGTATTTTTTAGTAGAGAGAGGGTTTCACCATGTTGGCCAGGATGGTCTCGATCTCTTGACCTTGTGATCCGCCTGCCTCGGCCTCCCAAAGGGCTGGGATTACAGGCGTGAGCCATCGCGCCCGGTCACAAGTAGGTCTTAGCTATGATAGGCATCTTGTTTCTGTAGCTGGACAACTCTAAAGTCTTACTCATCAGCCTGCTGAACAGTTCCTTTTTCAGAGACATAGATGCCATCCAAAAATTTCCAGATATCCTTGTTTTTAACTGTTGTAGCTTGCTGAATCAAAGCCGCTGAATTTGAAACAAGCTCAATGTCATTTCCTTCAAGGATTAATTCATCTTTCTGGGCTTGAGATACTGAACAAGCAACACCTGGTCTTGTTCAAGCCCTGCGGATGTATTTTTCACCCAGGAAATTTCGGATTTCAACAAGAGACCCATACTCCTGGATAACAACATTGATGGGGAAGTGAGCATACACAGATCTCATCTTGTAACAGAAGCCCAGTGTAACACCCTTGATCGTGTTCTGTACGTGACTACAAATAGTCCGAACAGTAGCCAGTTCCTTTCGGTTACCCCACCATTTGTCAACCCGGAGCCTCTTTTTTTTTCTTTCCATGAAGACTGAGTTCTACATTGATGTGATTGAAGTCCCTCCGCAGGGTTCCTCTAGGGCCCTTCACGATAGCTGTGCGTCCCTTCAGAGTAATGTCGACATTTTCTGGAATGTCGACAGTCTGATTGCTGAGAATGGTCTTCATTCTCGCAGTAAACGCGGCAAAGAAGGCACAGATATATTTCGGAAGAATGGGGGTGGGAAAAGAAAACAACACATTGAGTTTCAATCTAATTATTTCCACCAACTCAGAAGCAAAGAAATACCCTGAGTTTCCATTATGTCTAATGCTTCCAAGTGGGAACTTCCGAAGGGCTAGAAAAGCCCGATAGAGAAAGCCACACAAATTAACCACAGATTTAACTCCTTTACAGATATAAAGGGCAAGCTGTATCACACAGCCATGTATGAAGAAACAACAGAAATAATCACAGTAAACATTATGTGACCAGGGCAGCCCAACTCTTTGGTCCAGCTCAATTGATCTGACCTATGTCTTTTTTTTTTTTTTTTTTTTAAGATGGGGTTTCACTATATTGGTCAGGCTGGTATCGAACTTCTGACCTCAAGTCATCCGCCCACCTCAGCCTCCCAAAGTGCTGGGATTACAGGTGTGACCCACCGCACCCGGCAATCTGACCTATGTCTTAACAGACTCTCAATCATTCAAAGATTACTCACTCTTAACAAAAACAATAATAATCAGGAGAAAAATAATCACTAAATCCAAACAGGTTTCCGAGAAGATCTTTATTTCTCAAAAAGCTTTACTTTGTGGAATACAATGGAAGGAAAAAAACTAATTACATATATTGTTGTAACATTTAATGAAATTTGAAATTCTTCTACTTAAATTTATTAAAATGGTAAAGGAATGAGATTAAGTAGATTTGACATCAAAGGGGCTGGAATTTCCCATCAAGTTTTCCACATTATTGGTAAAGACAGCAAGTATGTTTTCTTCATAGCTTTCAAGAATCCCTTGCCAGAAATAACCTTATGTCAAGATAGCAAGCATGTTTCATTATAGTGGGGAAAACAGAACTAGCCAGGAAATGATCTTATAGCAAAGAGACTGTTAAAAGATTATTCTAGCACAAACAGAATTAAACTGCTTGCCACTGGAGCCAGGCACAGTGGCACAGGCCTGTAATCCCAGCACTTTGGGAGGCTGAGGTGAGTGGATCACGAGGTCAGGAGATGGCGACTATTCCTGGCTAACATGGTGAAACCCCGTCTCTACCAAAAATTAGCTGTGCATGGTAGCATGCATATGTAGTCCCAGCTACTTGGGAGGCTGAGGCAGAGGTTGCGGTTAGCCAAGATTACGCCATTGTACTCCAGCCTGGGCAAAAAAAGCAAAACGCCATCTCAAAAAAAATAAAATAAATTGCTACCATCCTTTTTCTCTCAACCCAGCAATTCCTGAGGTGCAAAGTTTTCAAATATCTGTGTGTGTAATGAGACGGAAGCAAGTGAAAACACTTGTGATGAAAGGGTTATAAGTTACTGTAATTTCCTTTTATCAATCAAGTTGATTTAGTGGTTTAAAAATATTGTTCAACAGAACAAAGGTGGTAACATTTGTTAGATCCTAATTAAACATGATTCATTCTAGAATGTTTCTGATGTCACAGCTTAAATAAATAATCTACTGGGAAGTCTATTCAAACTGCACAATGAAAAGCCAGTTTTTCACACATACAATACAACCTGAAACTATAGCTTCAATCTATGCAGATGGTCTTACTATTTTAATTATAGAAATAATAAACTGATAATACCAAAATTAGATTGATGTTGTTTAATTTGTGGCTACTGAGGAATGATAACTATTCAAAAATCACAAAATCTGTGTCAAAATATGTCCTCAAAGGGATATTGTTGCCTCCTTTCCCTTGTAAGCTTTGCAATGGACTTTGGTCAAAGCTGACATAAATAGCTAAAGAAATTAGCAACATCTGGATCCTGATGGTGGTTAATTAAAAAAAAAAAAAAGAAATTAGCAAAAGACTATCAGAAGACAAGGCCAGGGGAGCAAAACGGACACAGGTGCTACACACCCAAGCAATCAATGTCTGCTCCCAGAGTACCTGACTACAGCAGCCAAGGCATCTGCTCCTCAAGCGCAGTGGCGCCTTCAAGGGAGCACCGCCTGGAAGGTCTGCCCTTTGCAGGGACGCCTGCCCTTAGACTTCCAGCTCTAAATTCTGAGGGTTCAAATGAAGGACGGAACAATGAGAAAGCTTAAATCCTCTTGAAACATCACTGTGATCAACGGTTTCAACCCTCCTCTACCATATACCAGTTCAGTGGAGCTGCTAACGCTAAGTTTCCTTCTTTACCCACCCATCTGTATTCTAGTGGAACCCCGTGATTAAGGGAGGGCAAAGAGGAAGGGGACAAGTCCTTTTTTTTTTAAACAGAAAAAAACACTCATTTAGATACCTGGTTTGGTAAGACATCTGAAGAAATATGAAACCCAACTATGTAAAAGCTTTAAAAATCCAGGTTATGAATTAGCCTAAACCTGTGCTTATGTTCCATTCTGTTTAGAGGGAGGGGGAAGGAATCCCTTTCCCTTTTATATTTTTCATGGCAAATTCATGGTCTCATCAAAAATTACTTGTCTTTAACACAGTTGAAATTATTAAATGTTATCTAGATCTGACCAAATCCTATTTCCTTAATCTTATATTCAGGACAGTGGAAAAAAATACTGTTTTCTTTTAGCAAAGTCTGACTCCTAAGGCTCAGTTACCTGATTAAATAAACTGACCCTGTTTTTGAGGTTAGTGGGCACAGTGGCTCACATCTATAATCCCAGCTACTCGGGAGGCCAAGGCAGGCAGATTACCTGAGGTCAGGAGTTCGAGACCACCCTGGCTAACATGGCAAAACACTGTCTCTACTAAAAACTACAAAAATTAGCCAAGCATGGTGGTGCACACCAGAAATCCCAGCTACTCGGGAGGCTGAGGCAGGAGAATCACTTGAACCAAGGAAGTAGAGGTTGCAGTGAGCCGAGATGGTGCCACTGCACTCCAGACTGGAGGACACAGCAGAACTCTGTCTCAAAAGAAAGAAAGAAAGAAATGAAATGAAAATTTCCACAACAAAATGAAATTCTTAAGGAAAAAACTGCTTTGAACCTAAAGTCAACCCAAAAAGTAGCTCTTAAAGTTAATTTTCCTTAGTGCCAAATGAAATTCAGATAAATCCCAATCTTCTAATTCACACACATCTTCACATTTCTAATACTTCAAATCAGAATGAGAAAGTCACGTATGCCAAATTAACGGAAGAGAAAATCCCACACCAAAACCAAAACATTGAGCTTCCTCCCACTCTCTCATTCAGACAATCACACAAGCATGAACCAAATGAAGGATTCCAGTTGCCCCATCCAGACATCAACAAATAGAAGCCTAGCTTTTATTTTTTAAGTCTTAGCAATAGAGGCAAGCTTATTTCTACCTTCCAGCCAATAGTATGAAGCACAAGACTAGCTGTTTATGAACAACACACTTACTTTCCACACCACCACATGGTTTTCCAATTTCACAAAGTAAACATTTCCTCATCCCTCTTTAGAAAAGATGAAACAATTTATTGTAGCTTCAGCAAAAACCATCTCTCAAAGCAAAGATTGGCAGATTCAAGACATAAGGTACAGCTTTTATCATAAATTTGAAACTAACAAGAAAGCCATTAACCTAAATATTTTTCTAACCAAAAATCAGAAATTATGTTAATAGCAATATATAAGAATTACTGGCCGGGCGCGGTGGCTCAAGCCTGTAATCCCAGCACTTTGGGAGGCCGAGGCGGGTGGATCACGAGGTCAAGAGATCGAGACCATCCTGGTCAACATGGTGAAACCCCGTCTCTACTAAAAATACTAAAAATTAGCTGGGCATGGTGGCGTGTGCCTGTAATCCCAGCTACTCAGGAGGCTGAGGCAGAAGAATTGCCTGAACCCAGGAGGCGGAGGCTGCGGTGAGCCGAGATCGCGCCATTGCACTCCAGCCTGGGTAACAAGAGCGAAACTCCGTCTCAAAACAAAAAAAAAAAGAATTACTGTTTATCTACCCCATTTAGAATGTACTGGGGTAGATGACAATGACAATCAGTACTGACTGCCTTCTTATGTTTAACAACCTTTTCATCTACATTTCAGGTTTCAGTACAAGACAAGCCATTTTAATACATTCATCATCAGCCATTTCAAAGCATTATTTTATACATACTGTATAAGACACAAAGTGCTTAACTGTAACTTAAAACCCAACTTGAATCTTAAATGGGCAAAATAACACACCTCCCACTAGTCATCTGCCCACAAACCAGGCCCCATATAACCATCAAGCATTTGACTGCATCACACGTGATTAATCCGAAACTGTGCTATGAATCATACAGTAGTCCTCCCTTATCTTGGAGGGATACGTTCTGAAATTCCCCAGTGGGTGCCTGAAACTGCAGATAGTACCAAAATCTAAATACATTGTTTTTTCCTATACATAAACATCTACAGTAAATTTTAACTTATAAATTAGGCAGAGTAAAAGATAAACAACAATGTAAAAGGAAAATAAACTTGGGAACCCCAAACTCACTAAGTCAAAGAGAAAAGTCAAGTTAGGAATGGCATCATGCAAACCTACCTCCCTCACAATCTGTCCAATAGGAGATTTCTTGTTTACCTCAAGAACCATAGCTTACCACCATTCTGGCTGAATTCCACCCTGACAACGTAAATTGACAGCTTATCTTCATAGGTATGGGACAAAGGACAGAAGTGACTCATTCCTCTGCTCACCTGAGACAAATGCATATCTGATTGCGTCCTCTGCCCTGTATTTTATCTCATGTAAAAATGGAGATTCAATGAGCTAGATAAATGCATAAGGGACTATTCCTCTTCCACCCACTGCCTGTGAACAGCTAATCAAAGACTCAAAAGAATGCAACCATTTGTCTCTTATCTACCCACACCTTCTTAAAATTTCTTTCTTTTTTTTTTTTTTTTTTGTATTTTTAGTAGAGATAGGGTTTCACTGTGTTGGCCAGGATGGTCTCGATCTCTTGACCTCATGATCCCCACGCCTAGGCCTCCCAAAGTGCTGGAATTACAGGCGTGAGCCACCACAC